TCCAGACAGCACTCCTGTCAAGGTAGAGAGACTCTGTGCTGTTAATCTCACCAACCACTGGAAAAGCACGTTCAATACTGTCATTCACAGTTGTGTGATTTCAAGGCTAATTAAGCCTATTCACTGTTTTCAGTCTGCTTAAATACATTAGTGGGATTCTTCTAGCTTCTGCAGCTTGCCAGCACTTTCTGCTCAAACTGTCTCAGAATGTCTCTCGTATATGCAAATTTACACTGAATGAATGGCTGTAAATTATAGCAGGATTATTCTGCCATTGAGAGTACATCCACCTGAGACGAGGTCAACAACCTTGTAGGTAACTAAATCCCCATACCTTAAGAGGGCAAATGACACAACTGAAACTCTGTAAAAAGAAACATGGCTTCATTTTGAGTTCTTGCATTTGATTGCAATTTTTATCTCTATACATATTGAAAATACAGCTAATTTTCTAAAAGTTAACTATTGATGAGGTACCATGAAATATTACTTTATGAACTGCCCTATTAATGCTCTGAGGCAAATTTATTCTGTATCTGGACTGTACTGCCATAACTGATTTCTATTTCTTAACTTGTTAGGCAGTCAGGGGGAGAAGCTCATCTCCAGTGTCATCAAAGAAGATTACGTTTGAGAGCTTTGTTCAGTTAATTATCAGCACAGCTTTGCATTCATTTCCTGGTAATGTGGTTTTACCTGAAGGGCTGACATTATTTCCTAACAAGCTAGTACCTGGATATGATGGCAGCAAGAACACCACCTCGCAATAGCAAAGTGATTTCCTAGTAAGAAACACTTTTCTAGGGGTAACAAAAACCTAGGGGCTTATGCATCACGTGCCAGTGCTGTGGTAAGAGAGCTGTTCAGCCCCTCTGCCTTGGCTCGGGCTGTAAATGCCCTCACACAATTTTACAGTGCCCTGTGCTCCCCTCTCATGGTACTGTGAGGGGTAAATTGGTCACTTGCCATTGCTCCTTGTCAAGAGTTCAGCTGCTGTTCATCGCAGCCTACTCCTAAATGCTCAGAGCTGCATTATGCCAGCATTACATATATTATTTATTAGCTAATAGATTGTTGTTCTGACTCTCTTGCTGGTGCCAGCAGTGATGCTACTGACTACTCTTTATAGTCATCCAGAGAAGGAATAGGGATGTACAGAATCCAGACACCTAAGTCACAGCTGATCTATCATTATGGCTAAATATATATTTCTTGCATTAGAAACAAATAAATTCAAAACCCCACTGATTTTAGTGGCCTGAGACTTTTCTTTTGCTGTTTCCCTATTGTTCATACCATAATCCAGGAAGAAGTGCCTTCAAAATAATATCCATTATTTTCTGAATGTGCAGTTAACATCATCATACTTTCATGCTTGTGAAAAAAAAAAAAGTCATTTAAAACACTCATACTTTAAGAAGTTCATTCATTAAGAAACTCCATTCCTCCATCCAGACTTGGAAGAAGGAATGTATTGCATGGCAAACAAGTGAAAACTTAGGAAGATGCCAATGTGTAACTTGTGCTGAAATTTTTGCACATGCTGTAGCAAGCACTGGGATGGAGAAAAGGCAAAATAGCCTTTGCTGTCCTTACAGATTTTTATGAAGAATACAGGCAGGTTTAAGCCTAATAGATTTTAAATATCTTGACTGATGCATACTCTCCTAAGGCTTTTATGGTATGTAGTGGTCTGAGAAGCTATACCAGGACTGACTTTGTATAGTAACCAAGATAAGAAACCTACAAGTTCTGTTCAATAAACACTTGAGTTTTTAAGCTACTCTGTTCATTTTTTTTTAAATTTAGCCATATATGTGCATTTTACTTAGACTTTATTTGAGCGTGACTGAGCAAAGTATATATTATAGCATGCAATATGATACCTCTTTTAGCATAATAGTGAAGAAAAAATTCAAAATAATTAAATTCTTTCCATATATTTTCCATATAGCCAGAGAATTATAGAGTAAAAAACATATGAAGCTATCGGATTGCACAAAAATCTACATTTACAATAGGATTACATCTACTCTGTAATGTCCTAAGCAATTTCTTTGCACATTAGCCCATAGAACACTGTTGCATATCTTAAAAAAATCTCTGCAATTTAATATTGGAAAATTTATTTTGGTTTCAAGTTAATATTCTTGTTACAAAGTAAACACACATTTCTCCCTACTACAATGTGAGTTAAAACAACATATTTCAAAGATCTATTATAAAATCCAAGGAATCAAATACTCAGTTCCACTACTCCAGCAATAACCACAACAAAAAGATGCCCACAACAGATGGGAAATCAAAAATATTTTCTCTTGGGATGCTCATATCCTATGACTAGAAACAGCAAAACACAAGAAAGTAAACTACAGCCTGTTTTCTATCATGCATTCATTATAATGTTTATTTCATAATATTGTTTAATATCAATGTTTATTTTATATTTATGTTTATAATGTTCAGACACCTCTTAGGTAAAAAACCCTTATTCCTAAAGACGATAAAAACTTACTGTAGCAATATTAGACAAACATGTATAGTCCCTTCAGAGGCAATCATTGCTTAATTCCAAGAGCTGTGAGCATTGCTGGGTCAGAAGACATTATGCAATAACATGATGAATTAATAGAATTGACCCCTGAAAACATCCAAAAATTCATTTTTAGGCTGCATGTATGTCTACTGAGGTAAAGCTGAAGTGAAGTGGAGTACAACTTTAATCTCTTCCCCTTCTGGCTCCCATCTCTTCCTGTGGGGAGCAGCAGGTCTGCACTCTGGTAGAGCAGACACCTTCAGGAGGGTCTGCAGTGGAATCCCAGTGCACTGACATACTTCCAGTCACTGCCCCCTTCACCAGATATCTCAGCTTGCATTCCTCCTCTGAGCTGAGACCAGACAGACCTTCCCCAATGTCTGTTTATATCATGACAGACGGAGTAAAACACTGACTGAAATATCCTTCAGCAGGTAGCTTTAAATACAGTAGCATCATAGAATATATTTTACCTGCACATGAAACTCAAGGAAGTCACATAAGATCAAGATTTTTTTCTGAAAGTGACAGTAGCAAACTGTTTGGCAAAATCCCAACTGTTGGCAAGAAAGCTATTGCAAATCTTGACCTCTTGCCTTGCTTTGAATGGCAAGCCAGAATCTGCCAATTAACTTTCACTTAGAAAAAAAAAGGCTGAGTATTAATAGATTTATGTGATATGGCATTGTTAAGGCAATGGGACATTTCAAAATGCTGAAGCAAATGGAGATGCTCAGGCTGAAGCGTGCTGCTCTGAACAGCACCTCTCCCTCATCTTGAGCTGAAGATGTTTTACTGTCTGCGTACGTCTGAGTGAGGGCAACCTGCTGAGCCCCACCGACAGCATCCAGCCGAGAAGGGAGGCAAGAGAAATTCAAATGCTGTGGTTAGAGCAGCCTGCAGAAACACTCATTGGAAAATAAAAAAAAAAAATTACAAGCCAGCTGCAAGTTCCACTAATGCTGAACGAAGTGAGAGTTTATCAGTTGTATCAGATTTATCAGCTGTTTGAACGGAATAGACAGAGGTGCTAAGAACCAGAAACAAACTATTTTTTTCTGTACTGCATCTTATCTCTCTGGGAAAGACTCCAGAGTTTTGCTAGCACATCTTGGTGATCAGAGAACAAACAAATCCCATAAGTGGCATGTACTCACTGACCCTGCTCCCCTGAAAGTTTCTACTAAAACTCCCTGGAGGATCGTGTCCCAGGCTTGGCAGAATGTTCAGTTTTGCAGCCCTTGCCCAGCCTCTAAGGCTTGGTGCTAGCTCTGCTCTGAGTTGGACAGACTCGCCAGCTGAGCAAACTTGAACTCTAGGTGGTTTTAACGCAAAATGTTATCAGGCTTTTCTCCCTCCCAATCCTGCCCAGTCTCGCTGCTATTCTTCCTCCTCTAAACCAATCCTGGCACCTCCTCAGAGCTCCAGGACAGGGTCACTGAAATCCTTTGCTTAGGTGTCCTTTTAATAGCAAGGTCTTGATGACTATGTAATTGCTAAGGAACGTTGTCTCCACCTGATGCTATGGACACTTCCTTTTTTACACAAACATTGAAAAAGTAACAATTTTGGCAGTGTTGCTACAGCCAGTCTTTTCTGCACCGGATTAAAATGTCCAAGAAACTGCATATATAATAACTGCCTATTGTATCTTAATCATTATGTAACTTGAATTGAATGAAGTCCAAACCCTACTATAAATATGGACAGTACATACATAGGGTATAAACAAAGGTCTACCTTCACCCAGGCAGTGAAATTCTGATAGAAGAAACACACTGAATGGTTTGTAAAAGCCATGTAGCCAATGAACATGCCTATTCATAAAGACATTTAGGTTCTTAAATGCAGGGGCCAGCATGCTACCTACCTACAGAAAGCATATATGACAGTGTGTTTTAGACTACCACAATGTATTTTCTTCTGTAGAGGAGATTTTTCAGTCCCCGGGTGGATGGGATAATTCCAACGACAGCTACCGAGAAGGCTGAGGTTTTGTATCATCAGGTTTCCACAAGCACTGTTAGAGCATCGGAAACAAATGACGAGCCTTTATCGGTAGAGCTCACCCACGGCAGGAGGCAGAATACTACGAAATGTCATTCCCTCCCTCCCTTTAGCAGCTCTGAAGGAACAAAAACACAAGCCACGGTTTCCAAAGCGCTCCAGGGTGAGGGTTCTGTTATGCAGCCTCAGACCGACCCAGGCGGCCGGGGAGAGCCCCCCGCGTCCGTCCCGCCCCGCCGATCGTGCCCCCTCCCCGGGGGCGCTCCCCGCGCCCGGGGCACCCCGGGGCTCCCCGCGGCAGCGCCGCGCTCCCGGCCCGCCCGGGCGCCCGCCGGCAGCTCTCGCCTCCCCTGACAGTCCCATCGGGGCGGGAGCTGGGGATGACTCGGGCTCTCAAATAAATACAAATAAAAGCAAAAGGCAGCCCTCGGCGGAAGAGGGATGCCCTCCCGCTTACCTTGCTCCGCGGGCGCCCGGGGCGCCGCCGGGGGCTGCAGGAGGGATTCCCCAGCGCTGGCAGGGGCTGCTCGGGCTTCCCCGGGCACTGCGCGGCCGCCAAAGCCACGGCGAGGGATTTGTTTTGGTCGCTCCTTCCCGGGGAGGGTTTTCCTCTACATTCCCGGCTCCACATCACCGCCTCTCCCGGCACGGAGAGGGCTGGGGGTGGAAAAACCACGGCAAAGGCATCTCCCTCCTACCCGCGGAGATGAAAACCCGCCGGAGCAGCCGCGCGGGGAGCGGCTGGGGTGTCGGGCGGAGGACGGGGGGACGCCCCGCGCGCACCCCGCGCACCGCCCCGCGCGCGCTGCGCGCCCCCCGCGCCGCAGACAAAGGGGACACGTCCCCCCGCAGCCTGCCCGGGCAGGGGATCCGCGCCCAGGGACAGCAGCCACGCACAGACACCAGTGCCACGGGCGGGGTGCGCACACTCACACACACACACACAGAGAGTCTCACACACACAGACACACACACTCGCACACACTCGTGCACATGCATGTACACACGCAGCCCACACTGACCCCCCAGGCAGGGGATGTGCACACACGCGCACACACAACCCACGCTAAGGGCACTCCCCAGGCAGGGGATTCCCCTCTCACACACGGGTGAATCACACACACAAACACACACACACCGAGTCACTCACACGCACAAACACACACTCATACACACTCACTCACACACACACACATGCACTCGTGCACATGCATGTACACACGCAGCCCACACTGACCCCCCAGGCAGGGGATGTGCACACACGCGCACACACAACCCACGCTAAGGGCACCCCCCAGGCAGGGGATTCCCCTCTCACACACGGGTGAATCCACCCTAACATTCCTGCGTATGGGAGGCACGCGCCTCTCAGACCTCCCCACACACCGTCCTCCCAGACAGGGAATGTGCGGGCTTGCACACAAACACAAACACACGCACTTCTGGGTACTGTCCCCTCCCATACCCACAGTCACACACCACCTTCTCCTGCTCACTGCTGCATCCACTGCATCCCTTCCCAGTTTTCCTTTCCCAGCCAGGGCAGGGCACGGGCACACAATACACAGCATAGGACTGTACCCGGCCCATGACCTGGCCAGCCCAGCCTTGCTGGGCTATTGGCATGGCATGTTGAGGGCTTGCCGAGGGCTGAAGCCCACAGCAGAAATCCAGTGCCTGGAGAGCCAGGACCCTTCATGGGGCAGGGCTAATGCATTTTTGTCATCAAGTCTTGGCAAGGTTGCAGGCTGCAATCAAGACTTCAGCTACTCCTGCTGCCTCCCATAGTATTTTATAGCTCTTTATTGTTTTTCCTTGATCATTCCTGATAATGGGAGGAAGTCTCTTTCCCTCATTCATTAATCCCCCACTATATTTCAGGTATCAGATTAGAAAGCTTTTTTCCTTTTCAAGCTCTTCTGTTTCTCAGGTTTCATAACAGTTCATCATTTTGCCCTCTGCATTGTGTTGCTCAGGCTTCACCTCATCCTGTAGCTCTGAATTCAGCCTTAACTGTTGCACATTTTGCTGCTGGGATGAAGGCTTTCCAACAAAACTTTTATCAGCTTCCTTTTTTTTTTTGAATTCAAAGACCTCCTAATTCTTTTGAAAGCTATCCAAGAAAGAGATTGGGCAGTATTTGCCAACATGATTTTAATTACAACCCACCAAAAAATAGGTTAAACTTTGAATGCTCATTTATTGTGTGAATTTTCACCCATTTTATGTAATTCCTTGCCCGCTGTCTTGGGGACATATAAATGTATTTTTTAAAAAGATTTCCCACTTTCTCCCAGCCTACTTGCAGGAGTTTTCTGAATGGCAACCACAGCAGTAGTCCTAGTCAGTGCTGAATTCAAGGCTAGATTTCTATGAAAAGTTCCAGCAGAATGTACTTTGTCTGAAACCTGAACATCTGTGGCATAGGCATCCCTGCCTAGGCTGCTCAGCCTAGTCTTACCCTTATGGTCAGTCAGGGAAATTCTCTTCCATATCTTATATGTGATAAACAAAGCTCCATAGCAACCCATTCCTCTCCTCAGCTACTCCCCAGCTGAAATGTTGGTATCTATGTATTTCATATGTTCCACCTCTTGTGTGTACACGTGTTTTCATGTCTCATCACTAATTTTTGAATGCACCAATCTGTTTCATCTGAGCAAAACTCTCAAAGACAATTAAATTGCAACAAGTTTAAGAAAAAGAAAGCAGGTGGAGGAAGAAGCTAACTACACATCTCTTTGTGCCCAGAGCATGGCACAGGTGACGTGAGGAGTTTGTGTGTTGTTACATACCTCAAAATCTGCATGTACATGTAACATCAGTGAGAAAAGTTAACTGGAGGATCTGTCTTCTTAGCCACTGTAGTTCAGTAAAACCCATGAGGCAGAGCTGTAGGAAGCTGGAGTTCATTCCTTCAGATTCTCATTAAATAATAGGTTGTGAAGAGCTCCAGTTCTCCGTTATGGCTTTTCATGATGCAGTGAGTGGTTTTGAAGCAGAATGTGTTTTCTTGAGATTTTATTACTTGATTTTTCATTTTTGATAAAGGAAGAATGTATTATCTCCCTCTCATACACACACCCCCAGATACTAATAAGTCTTGCTTATTGGGAAAACTGACAGAAAGTGCAGTTCATAGGTGAGTTCCTGCAGTTCATGGGCTACAGTGATATGCATTCTGTTAGACACTGCTCCAGAATAAGCAACTGATCTGTTTTCAAGGAGAAGTTATTCTGGAATAAAAAGCTCCTTATTTTGCTAGTATGTCCACAGTAAAAGTAATTTTATTCTGGGAAATTATTTTTGCGCATAGAGGTACATTATCCTGCCTTGACTCATATTTACATCACTGCATCTTTGTTATTCAATTTTCCTTTATAAACAAATGCTATCAGTTCTTGGCTTGCTCCTTTTCTAGACTTGGGGCATTTATGTTTATGAACACTCATCTTCTGCTCTTACTGACATGCTTGGATATTGAAGGGAAGCCTTTGTTGGTTCTCTAGTTACCAGAAATGAAATGCAAAATGTATGGCCATGCTGATGAACAATGTCTTTCAGATCATCTGGGAAAGATTTCCTTTAGAGGGGTTCGGTCTCAGTTGGTCAGATAAGGGGAAGAAAGAAACAGCTTGAGAGAAAGAGAAATCTCTTTTTTACTAATATTTCTGCTGGAGGATTTTCCCCCTTCATTACAGTGATGTTCTTCAGAATACCTTTCATCCATCAAGACCATCCTTGTAAACATCCTGGGCCTCTTCCTTCTGACTTAGCACCCAGTTTGCATAGATGAGCCTACTAGGTCTCTGTGAGGTATTGCTTCCCAAATACCTCCCAGCAGTGAGAGGAGAAGCTGTTTAAAGGAAGACATGGATGGACAAAGATAGGCACACATGTGGAAAAGTACAGCTAAATCTTGCACTGACCAGGAGGATCATTCAAACTCACAGTCTAAATGTTGCAAGAAATAATTGTCTTCTCCACTGTTGAACACCTTGACCATACCAATGAACTCATGTGACCCACTCATTTGCTTGCTTTTGAAGGAAGAAGAGTGGGTTTATGTTTGTGAGGGCCTTGAAGGCACAACCAGGACTGCTGGCCCTGATCTACTTTCCCTAAAGACTTCCCAATCCCTGTCTATAGTCACCTACTAGGTCTCTGTGAGGCATTGCTTCCCAAATACCTCCCAAAAGTGAGAGGAGAAGCTGTTTAGAGGAAGACATGGATGGAGAAAGATAGGCACACATGGAAAAGTATAGCTAATCTTGCTCTGACCAGGAGGATCATTCAAACTCACAGTCTAAATGTTGCAAGAAATAATTGTCTTCTCCACTGTTGAACACCTTGACCATACCAATGAACTCATGTGACCCACTCATTTGCTTGCTTTTGAAGGAAGAAGAGTGGGTTTATGTTTGTGAGGGCCTTGAAGGCACAACCAGGACTGCTGGCCCTGATCTACTTTCCCTAAAGACTTCCCAATCCCTGTCTATAGTCCAGGACACCATTTCAGCTCAACACAGGGCTTTCAGTCCCTGCCTCAGAGACACATCCCTGTGGAGAAGGGAATAATCTACTTATAGACTGGTTTAATGGCTATTCCTTCTTGTAGGAGCAGATATTACATTAAGCACCAACAGCAGGAGGACTGCTGTAATCAGCATCAAAGTTGGCCTGTCTAAATAAATGGTTGATCATTTTCCTGAGTGTAATTATATCAGTTATTGCAATGCTGAAATATAATGTCAGGTGGTTTTGAAATGTATCTTGATTTCCCGGAAGCATGTCTAACAAATGGCAAAAATAAGTTCTAGGAGAAGAGTCAACTCCATCCCAGTGCCCTTTGTATCACTCAAGACTTGCAGAAAAAACAAGTCAAACAAAGGCAGCTTCCTGGCCAAGTCCAATATTCTCTTGAAATAAATCACTTTAGGAATGGCATCTGGCAGTGGCATAACCCACCACAGTTCAGACCAAGTTTCGTCTGGATTAGGGACTTCCTGATTTTTGGAATAACTTTCCATGCTTCCTATTGAGTGGTTGGGGTTTTTTTTTCTCCCCCCCCACCCCCTTTTATTTAAGTTTTGGTTTCCTTTATCATATTTCTCTAACTGAGAATACTGTGTTTTCTATTCTTGTTGACACAGATTAGGCTCTGACACTCTTTTTCCAAGTCTTGGTTTCTAGAGGGGCTCCTGGAAGTGTTTTCAGCCCTTTCACAGGCTGTAATGGGACAGCAGTCTCACTAGTGTTTGAAGGCTGCCTTGTGGACACATCCAGGAATGGTATGCTGCTGCACACAGGGACAGTAGTGGCAGCTTTTCTCTCTCTAGTGCATTAAATGGAAACTTACAGAGCTGGGTATCACAAAACCAGCAACAGAGATGAGCAAGAGCATAGCCAGGAAGGACAGACCATGGGAAATATGCCATTGTCAAACAAGACATAACTTGGATGTTTAAGGGCAGTTTTTTGCCTGTTCATAAAAATCATTCATTGTTCCTTTCTTCTCTAGGGGTTGGTTTTTTTGTTTTTGTTTTTTGGGTTTGCTTTTTGGTTTGGTTTTTGTTTGGTTTGGTTTTTTTCATTCTGGACAAATCTGCACAAGAAAATAGTAATTGATGTTAGGGCTACAATCAGCTGTAGACATGCCAAAACGAACAGAAACCAAACTTGAACTAAACAAAGGCATATCATTATGTTTAAAGCTGAATTATTAGAGT